TGGAAAAACCATAGCTTTGACTATGTGGACCTTTGTCGGCAAGGTGATGTCTCCCTTTTTTAAGATGCTGTCTAGGTTTGTCATCGCTTTCATTGCTGGAAGCAAGCATCCAGGAGCTGTAGCTTTCACATAATGGAGGTGGCATCTCTCTCTAGGCCAACCGGTCCTCAAAAACCAAACCAGAAGTGACCATCTAGGCATTTATTCTGCTTCGTTATCTATTCTAAATGACTCTTTTTGCTATTTTCTGGCCTGGTATGGCCTGTGCTGAGGTCCTGGACTGGGTGTATGTGAAAATTTTGCCCTCATATCTGCAAGACAATCCCAATCCACATTCTAGAACAGTGGTTTCCAACCTTGCGTAACCCAGATGTTCTTGGACTGCAGCTCTCAGAAAGCTAGTGGTGAAAGCATCTGAGAGTTTTAATCAAAGAACATCTGGAAATCCAAATTTAGGAACCACTGTCCTAGAAGGATGCTGTTTTAGAACCAGTTCAATTGACAGAGAGATGTCATTCCTTTCTCCCACAACAAAAAAACTTCTACAATTCACTGTAATATTGTTCTAGAGCAATAAGGGATTTCCCAATGGCAGCCACAAGGGAAGGGAACCTCACATTTACCAATTGACTCCACACACATGCACAGTTTTATTGGCATTAAATGCTGTGATGAAATGGTGACAGTGGAAATTTTACTGCTGCAGTAATAGTATCAGTTTCCAAATATTAAATTCTCAAAAACAAACAATAAACAAACAAACAGGCCCCAGTTTATGAATGTAGGAAATTGTGCTTTGGCATCCATGATTCAAAACTCTTAGAAATGACCCAATATTTCTGCACAATATCATACCCACATTACTAGCAGGAAAAAGGATGCCAAGCTCTGCATAGCAAAGGGCACCCTGAATGTTGACACTACCAAAGGCAGCAGTCAAGATGGTCTATGGGCTACCTTCTTGTGCTCACTGCTGTTCACAAAGTGACATCAAGCAAGGGAAAAAAAACCAGCAGGTGGATCTTTGTTTCTCACCCAAACACCAAGCAAGCTGTTTTTCGACAAGTGTGAATTACAGTGGACACAAGGTTGTCTGCTACATCTGTGCCAAATGTAGTGTTGACCTGAAGTCCAGTTTCAAAGTTATAATTCTTTTTATTTGGATCGCCCCCCTTTTTAGAATTGTCTTGTTGAATGTTGATTTGCTCTGCTGCACAATAATTAATATAATTCACAGCATTTTGTGAACAGTGCAGAATTTTCCAGTTTCCCGATGTACAGAAACTTCAGGCTTCCATACATCCCAGTCAGTAAGACCGACAGCAAGGAATTATGGATGGTTGTCTCTGAATGTCTCATTTACTCTCTTTACTGTCTGTCACAGCCACACCCACACAATTATTTTGTAGTTACCCCCATTTTGTAATTGCTGCTAAACAGCAGCACACTAGCTTCAAGCCTGATGTTTTGGCCCTGAAGTCATCTGGAATGTCATGCTGATGAGCTGGCAAACCTGCTAATAACATTTTCCCTCTGGACATGCAATTCCTTCAAAGCTACTTGTCTGAGAAATCAGGGAACAAATACATTGGTCATATACACCACCATTTTTGTCAGAATGGGCAAGTTTGAATTAGAATCAAAACGGGGGGCCGATGTGGGCTGGAGAGTGGGCGGCGCTGCCCCGCTTCCTGCCTCGTTCCCCCCCCCTCCACCGGCTCTGTGCCGCGGTCGCGTCCGGCGGGCCGTAGGCGCAGTGGGTCCGGCTCCGGCCAGCCGATGGTGCGGCGCTGCTTAGGATGAACGTGCTGGAGGGGCAGCAGCCCCCCAACGCGCACGATCTACTGGACGCGGCGGCCGCCGTCTACTGCGACAACCGGAGCCTTTTCCAGAGCCCTGCCCAGCAGAGACCGGTCGCCCACGCCGGGGGTTACGGCCTGGGCGAGCCGGGGTCTGCTGGCGGCGTCGGGGGCGCGGCCCATCCCTGCAGCCCTTACCTGTGGCTCAACAGCTCGGGCGTGCCCTCCAGC